TGGGGAACTCTCACTTTTTTCCTATTTTCTCTCCTACCCCACCCCTAAAAACAACCCAACCATCCTATCTTAATGCCAGTATCTGGCTGTGCCATTACACTTCTTTGTAATGAAGTGTTTATATTCCAGCATACTTAAATTACATTTTTTTAAAAAGGTAATTACTTCGCTTACCATTTTCTTATTCACACGGAACTCACACGTATCATACAACCCGCCTTGCCTACCCTACAAGGTTCCATCCAAAAAAGGTGCCAGAACTCTGTTCTGGGCATTCTATGACAAAAAAAGCCCTGAAAAGTAGTACATGCATATGTTTGCATATATATTTCCTTTGTATTTTAATCCCTTCAATAAAGTAGCTACAAATGGTGGATCCTTTGCTTGCCTCACAAGTGTTTTATCTGAGCTTAAGCCTATATTTCCAACTCAACCTATCTATCTAGTAGGGAAAATGAGACCGTTTGCTATGATGGGCTGAGCAGCAGAGACACACAATTTCCAGATGCTGTAAAAACAAGATCCTTGTGAGGGAATTCAAAGCAGGTGTGTGTATCTGTGTAGGAAGGGGAGAAGGAGATAGTAGTTATGCAATGGTGTCAACTTTCTTTGCATATTCATCTCTGAATTAGAAAGCTCATCTTTTTCAAAGATTTCATTTGTGAATTATCGGCACCAGAAAAACAGACTAAGAAATAAAATCACCAGATTTATAGATATAAAAGATTCCCAAGTTCAACCTTAATTTTGATGACTATATGGACATAAGCATGAGTTTTCTTGCCAAAAGTATGGAAAGGTTTACCTCTATCTTTTCCCAGGATTATTGTTTTTATTATTTTTATGTCCTGTTTTAGCCTACAGCCCTGCTGTTTTGTGCCAGTCCGCTGGTCAAGGGCTAAAGGGACAAGGTAAAGGTTTCCCTGTTCATTCGTGTCCAACTCTAGGGGATGGTGTTCATCTCCGTTTCTTGGCTGAGGGAGCCAGCATTTCCATGGTCATGGGGCCAGTATGGCTATACCCAAAGGCACATGGAATGCTGTTACCTTCCCACCAAAATGGTACCTATTAATCTAATCTCATTTGCATACTTTAAAACTGCTAGGTGGGCAGACTAGGTCTAATTCTCTTTTAGTTCCTTAGCGCAGTTTTATATAGTGGTGGGATTCAGCCGGTTCGCACCAGTTCGGCAGAACCGGTAGCTAATTTTTTGTTGCCCAGGCCCAGAATGGACTTCCGAAAGTGGCATCCACACAGAGAACCGGTTGTTCACATATCTGAATCCCACCACTGGTTTTATACATAGAAAAATCAACAGATTTGCCTTTCAGGAGTGGAGATAAGATATGCCAATTTGACATGAGAGATGTCAAATTTATGACCTTCCTCATCACATCCACAAATAGCATATTGGAATTCTGGAGTAAAGTTGTAGTTCCTGCTTTGTCTTTTGTTAGAATTTGTTACTAAACCTAGGCATCACTCTCATTCCATAAAGGGTCCTACATGAATAAAAAACTGAACATAGTACTTATAAAAATAATTTTATGAGTGTATAGGTGTGAGCTCCCTTCACTAGTATTAACTGTATGATGTTTAGAGACAGAGGCTAACTAACACTTTCTTGAAAGTCCCACTAATAATTGAATGTACAGCAACTGGCGAAGTTTGCCATCCACACAGAGATATGGTTACCTGGGGGGGGGGGAACTATTTTCTATTAAAAAATTAATAGAAAAGAAACTTGAAAAAACCTCCCCTTCCAGGAAAAATATAATGTTAACTAAAGTAGCATGAGAAGATTGACAATGTTCTCAAGATCAGTGACTAATTATTGGAATGTTTGGAATAAGGTAGGCAAAAGGAATAAATTAGATTCAAGTAGAATCTCATATAAGAACAAGATATAAAAGATTCTCTGGCAGCCTTTTCCCCAAATTGGAACCTTCTACATGTCTTAGAAGTGCAATTTCTAGAATTTCTAGTTGGCATAACTTATATTGATTAGAAATTATGAGAGTTGCAATACTAATAAAGCCTGAGGGGAGTTAAGTGAGCAAAGTTTGCCAGTGTTCTTCTAACTAAGAGGATGGAAGAATGTCATGACAAGGTCTACTTACAGTAGCTGTATTCTCCCACCCATAGTTCCTACTTGAGTACCTGTACACTACACGGGTCAGAAAGAGGGCTGAAAAAATATCTACAGACCCCCTCATATCCTGGACATAAACTGTTTCAACTCCTCGCCTCAGGACACTTTATAGGGCATTGAATGCCAAAAAAACTAGACACAGAGATAGGTTTTTTTAACCTCATGCCATCACTTTCCTGACCATCTAATTATCATAGTACCATCTTATGTCTATGGATATTTATCCATGTAGTATGGCTGTATTACTATTATCCTTCTCATCTTTTTTTTACTACCTTCTCTTATAGGTTATCAGTATTATGATTATATTACTTTGTTGTTTGTACACTGAGAGTTTATGTACAGGAGAAAAAAATCCTTGTGTGTCCAATCACACTTGACCAATAATAGAATACTTTTAAGGTTAATCAGTAGACTAGAATAGTATTCTAGTCTACTGATTAACATCTCTTAACCTGTCAAATTTATGATATATCCCAATGCTTTTTTCTAACAAAGTGAATAAATCTTTCTTTCCTCACAGAAGTTCACTTTTTATTCAAAATCTTTGAAGGAAATGTGATTTTTTAAAAGCAGATTTTACAAAATTATATGAAAAATAGGTAGATTTCTTATTTGTTCTTCTGTTCTGTTCTAATAAATGTAATCCCCCCTTTTGTGTTCAGATCTCAGGAGGGGAAAAAAAACCCAGGGGTTAGCTGTTTTTACAAGTTGGCATTGACCTTTTTCATATTCTTATTATTCAAGAAAAAATAATACATTCATTTACCTTTAAAACAAGAATATCAGATTAAAAGTCTGCAATGTGGTAGAAGAAGCAAAATTTCCTAAATGTTATAATTAATATTAACACTGGAAATCTCCTATTTGAGAAGCCAGACTACTACTAATAGTGTTGCATGTAATTTTCATGAATTCTCCATTTATTCATTCTTCTCAGCAGGGAGGAATAAGGGAAAACATAGTTTCCTACAATAGTTTTCAACACTTTTAACAGATTTTGGCAACCTATTCTTTAGATGAAAAGAACTATAATGGTGTTCTTTAGTTGAATAAGGACACCAAACAGTTGTATTCTATAGATGAACAGAACTACAATTCCTATACATTCAGTGTCTCAGAAATTCAAGGTGTATAAAAGTTCCTCTTTTTTCCTAATACACTTATTTCATCCTATTGCTATGGAATAAGAGAATAAATGCAGCTTAGTTGTTTTTTCATCAAAATGCATAGGGTAAAACAAAAACATAGGAAATAGTTAATCAGAGGAAATTAAAAAATATTAAACTAATTTTTGAACACTCATTTTTGAGATTCACTTGTTAAAAGTTTATAATCAAGCACATTAATTGACTTATAAGTGTAGAGTTAAATAATTTAATACATGTATTGAGGATATTGATTTTCTGTCAATAGAACCATAACTATTACTCATATTTTTGTGGAAATATTCATGTGTTTCTGCATTTAAATAGGATAAAACAAGAAGGAAGGAGAAAGTCAAAGCACAGGAAAGAAAAACAATGAAAGGCAGATCAGAAGTTCATTAAGTTTAGGTACTCATCTTACAACCACAATGGACCTCAAAATTTCTGTTAAGTGAGTTTTCCCCCATTTTACAATTTTTCTTGCCACAGTTTATTTTATTTTATTTTTAAAATTTATAAGCCGCCCCACTCCCGGAGGACTCTGGGCGACTAACAATAAAAACACCATAAAACATAACAAAACAAACAGTACAAGAACAGTCATCCAGGGGTCAGATTTTATAAACCCCAGGCCTGCCGGAAAAGCCAGGTCTTAAGCAGCTTACGGAAAATCAACAGGGTGGGAGCGGTCCTAATCTCCGGGGGGAGCTGGTTCCAAGACATGGCGCCATCACAGAGAAAGCCCTCCTCCGCGGCCTCGCCAAATGGCACTGCTTGGCCGACGGGACCTGAAGGAGGCCCAGCCTGTGGGATCTAACCAGATGAAGGGAACTATGAGGTAGTAGGCGGTCTCGTAAATAGCCTGGCCCTGAGCCATATAGGGCTTTAAAGGTAATAACCAACACCTTGAATTGGACCTGGAGACCATTAGGCAACCAATGCAGCTCACGGAGGATAAGTGTAACATTGTTAAGTGAATCACTGCAGTTGTTAAGTTAGTCACATGTTTGTTAAGTGAATCTGGCTTCCCCATTGACTTTGCTTGTCAGAAGATTTCAAAAGGGGATGACGTGACCCTAGGACATTGCAATCATCATAAATATGAGCCAGTTGCCAAGCATCTGAATTTTGATCATGTGACCATGAGGATGCTACAATGGTCGGAAATATGAAAAGTGGTCATAAGTTATTTTTTTCAGTTTTGTTATAACTTTGAATGGTCACTAAATGAACTTTTGTAAGATGATGACTACCTGTATACTGAATGGATAAAAAGTGAATATCACAGTGTAAATTAAATTATTTGACAAGTAACTCAAAGCAGCAAATATATCCAACAAACTTTCCTCCTCCTATTTTTCCGACAACAATAATCCTTTGAGGTGGACTGGCCTGTTAATAACTGGAAAGGAGACCAGTAGGAAATGGCCCCTGTGCTAGATTGGGAAATTAAATATAGAGAGATAGAACTTGAAAGAAGGCAACAAGAAACCATTATCTTAATAACAACAAGTAAGATTTCAAAGAACAAATGATGTTTTCACGTACCCAAGGTTGACTTTGACAAGTTTTTATCTTCACCCAATTCTGAAAGGCTTGCAATCCACCAGATGTGGAAATAATTCATTTCTCTTTCTTCATTTGGTCATGATAGATGAACTTACTCTAATATTTTCTCCTCTGTTTTTCTCTCTTATCAGGAGAGTCCATAATTGTTATAAATGCCGTCAGTGCAGCTTTACAGCGCTTGATACACAGTCCTTACTGGAACACTTCAACACTGTGCACTGTCAAGAAATGGACATCACCACAGCCAATGGGGAAGATAGCCATGGGATGGTGGCTGCTCTCAAGGAAGAATCCAAAATTGATCTGAAGGTTTATAACCTGATCAGTTCGGATCCAAAAGTGGGGGACCCCATCTTGGAGAGTGTAGTGAAGAAGGAAAAGATGGAGGAAAAAGAAGGATCGAAGGAGAAAGGTTGGCCTGATGGGTCTAGTGATGATCTTCGTGGTACAACTTGGAGAGGAGTGGACATTTTGAGAGGAAGCCCATCCTATACCCAAACAAGCTTGGGCCTTCTGACCACGGTGTCTGTTGTCCAAGAGCAGCCAAAGGCTTTGAGGGATAGTCCAAATGTAGAAGCTGCTCATCTTGCGAGACCTGTATATAGCTTGCCTGTTGAGACCAAGGGATTCCTGCAAGGCATGCCCCAAGGAAGTGGAGAAAAACCTGGACCACTTCAGCCATATCCTGGATCTGCTGATAACAAGTCAAAGGATGAGTCTCAATCACTTTTACGGGTAGGAAATTCTGTTTTTGTTTATATACTTCTGGGAAATTCATTCCTTCCTTCCTTCCTTCCTTCCTTCCTTCCTTCCTTCCTTCCTTCCTTCCTTCCTTCCTTCCTTCCTTCCTTCCTTCCACATTTTTGATGTTTGCTTTTCAAAATATCCCACATATCTAAGGAGAATGTCAGGTAATAATTCCAGCACAGGGCTGTAAAATTGCCCATGTTAGTTGCGGTTGTGATTTTTGTCTTTAAATTTTGTTGTGCTAAGTCAGGAATTCCTGATGATTTTGCAAGATGAGGTTACATTTGGAATAAAAAAATCCAGAACTCCAGAAGGCTAAATGTTTGTACAGAAAAGCATCTCTTTACCTTCTACATTTTAACAGTACAGTTAAGCAAGCTATCGTTGGATCAGATAGTTGAAACTATGAAAGTTGAATCATAATAATAAAAACTAAGACTGGAATTAAAGCACAGTGTGATTAAATATAACATTTGATGCTTGTCTGGTTTTGTTGAAAATTGAAAAAGCTAATGAGGCAGCGTTTTGATATTTTATTGCTGCTTGTTTTTTTTTATCATAGCCTTAGGAGAAAAAATATTATTTTACAGGCTCTTCTTTAGGTGTAATCAGCTGTGGACCCTTATTCATTTTGCTGCCTCCTTAACAACATGTCCACTGTTGCATAGAAAATGATCTTATGAAATAGCTATGAATTTTAGCTTAATAGGTGCAGAATGTATATTGTAACACTTGTAGGATAAGCTCAATTTATGGTTTTTTTTTCCCACACACAGTTGTACTGATAAGTAGACAGGTAGTTGGTGTAGTGAGTAAGGCACCAGGCTAGAAACTGGGAAACTGGAAGTTCTAGTCCTGCATTAGGCACAAAGCCAGCTGGTGTTGACCTCTGCTCAGTCACTCATTCTCAGCCCAAAAAGAACGCAAGGGCAGACCATTTCAGCAAATGTTGCCAAGAGAACTGCACTGACTTGTCCAGGCAGTTGTCAAGATTTAAGACAGACTTGAAGCAAACACACAATATCACTAAGTAAATGGCAGAACATAGATAATTTTATCTGATTTTGAGAAAGTGAAGCAGGGCTTAATATTTGAACAGGGCTATCAAAGCTGAAATACAGGATAGAAAGTGGAAAATGAAGAACAAAAGACAGAAGAAAGTAAGGATAAATATACTTGACAGTTTGCCAAGAAAACTTCATGGATACCGTTCTTATCAAGAATCAGTCAAGCTTTATTCAAAGGAATCACATATCTTTGATTTAAGAAAATGATAAGTAAGACACAATATCTTCTAGATCACTTTTTTCCCAAGCTGGAAGCATCGAGATGTGTGGACTTCAACTAGAATTCTCTAGCTATCATAGTCATTGTTAAGTACGTGAAGTCCACATTCTCAAAATAACTCGGGTAAATGCCACAGTAGAATGAGTACCAAGTAGACACCAAAATAAATTATCTTAATTCAAGGAGAACTAAGATGCAGTATGGATGTGTTTGGGCATTGAAGTTGTACATTCCATTTTTTGCAAGCTTTTATTATTCCTTCTAGGTTTCTTTTCTTTTCTTTTGCTTGTTGAGCCCAAGCATATTTCAAATATAAACTTTTTTTTTGAAAATGTATGTACTCCCCTTTAATGCTGCATTTGCCATTATTAAAACTGCACATTATTTTTTAAAGAACAAGACTGAAAGAAGAGAACATGGTTGTGTGTTTGTTTGTATGTGTATGTGTTGTATGTATTTATAACAATCAACTCCAGATATATTTTATATTGCCTAAAAACTAATGTTTACCTGAATAAGAAGATTCTCAAAGTCTATTGGACTCCAGAGATAAGAATTTTCACAACCTAATATTTGAACACTTATAATCTTTCTTTGCTTTGTAAATTATAATTTTTTAATTTTTTGGGGGGGGGGGATGTCTTTTATAACTCTGGCTATTTCCTGCCTGGGTTTCTTTCACATCTGGAGAACCAAAGAATTAACTGGTTATGCTACATCTGTTCTTAACTTGCTTTTTAACCCACTTTCACATTTTTTTCAATATACAGGGAAATACTCTTTTCTAGTCGCAAAATAGAAACAAAATGTTGCTAAAATATTAAAATATTATAGGTTTAAAACATTTTTCCTGATAGCACCTGCATTCATTGATTGCTTTGAAGAACTTCCATAAAAGTAAACAGATAAATGAAATCATACTTGCAATAAATATATCTATTGACAGAAAATATCACCAGAATGAAAGATTGGTGCATGATTATGTAAATCAAAGTTGAATAGATTGCTTACATAAATATGTGGATCCATTGAGTATTGGACATACAACATCCTATTTGAGATGCATTCTTTTATTTATATAGTTTTCTTTCACCAGCAGCTGAATGGATATTAGGTCATTCTCTATGTGATTTTTCAGCTACTCTTGTCAGTATGTATGTAAAAATAAACTTTGGACTTTATATGTATTTGATTTCCCTCTCATGGTCACCCAAATTTGTTTTGCTGTGGAAGGAAAGCTCTTAAGCATTACTAAAATACTTCAAGACAAATCCAATTTGGGAATATCTAAGAATGTTTTTCAAATGGTTGAAGCGGAAAAAGCTTTAGTTAAGGGGAGCTTGAGTACTGAATATATGCAGAATCTCTTTAAAGCCCTATTTTTGGACTTTGCCTCAAGTAGAAGAATGCAGAATATCTGTAATGCCCTATTTTAGAGCCTGCCTAAATATATATAGAATATTCATATCACAGAATTCAAGTTAGGCATTTATCAATTTAGTTCATTCAGACCAAATGTGGAAAAAGAATTTAAGAAAAGATTTTGGAAATGTTAGTTATATATGTTAGGCATTGTTTCTGCCTCAAACTGTTCTGAATATCTGCATATTCAAATGGAAATGTGAATAAAAATAGTCACCTTTCATAAATAATTTAATGGTCCCTATTTTCCAAGAATGTCAGTACATACATATTGTTTCCATGATATTTTAAGGAGCAAGCAAGTATCTTTCAGCACATTATAGTGTCAACAGTTCTGTCCTTCCTTACTTAAATTTGGATTTATCTTTTAAAGGTCTGTTAATACAGGATGAGTCTATTGATATGCAAAAATGTTCTTCTGAGTAGGGAAAGAAAAGATTTGGCGGCTGTTCTAGCCCAGGCTTATAAAAACAATGTTGTTTACTGTTTTGTGATCTCTTTCTGGGCAAGCACATACTTTTTGCTAAGCTTGATTTCAAATAAAGTTGCCTCACTAATTAGATGTAGCCTTTACTTAATGTTTTCCCTGAGTTCTTAAAGAATATAAACACACAGTTGCAAGCAGCACAGATGGAAGAGGAAAAACTCAGGTTGAGAAAGTAGGATTTGCCTAAATTTATTCTGCAAGATGAAAATTAAATCAAAGATTCCTTAGTTAGGTGTGAGCAGGCACCATTCCATTATCCCCCATGGTCATCTTGGTGACATTGGGCATACACACACACACACACACACACTTCTAGCATGAACTTTATTTCCACAAGTGCTTCTCACCAGCCTTTTAGAGTTTTTTAGAGAAGCTATGGCTGCAGTCCAGTGCTTTTGTTTTTTGCTAAATAAAAAGATCTAATTAAAGATTGAATAAAATAATTTGTGAGCTTCATAGGATGCAGTTTGCATTTTTAAACAAATTGCAGGTGAATATATATATATATATATATATATATATATATATATGTTGGCTTTGGTTTGTTCGGGTTTTCTCCCGCGTAAAATTGGAAGTGTCTGCGACGTTTCGACGAAGTCCCATTCGTCATCTTCAGGCTGGTGTTTTCAGCTTCGTGCTTTGAGCAGCAAAGCACGAAGCTGAAAACACCAGCCTGGAGATGACGAATGGGACTTCGTCAAAACGTCGCCAAGACACTTCCAATTTTACGCGGGAGAAAACCCAAACACCAAAGACCTACATACAAACACCCGCGAAAACCTCAGACTAGTATATATTATATATATAATATATATATATATATATATATATATACACACACACACACACACACACACACACACATACATATACATACACACAAACACACACATGTTGTAAAGGTGTGTAGGAGCACTCTAGCACACACAAACACGCTTTGTTTTTTTTTCAATAAAACATTTTTATTTTTCCATTTATTCAACATACAGAATACAATTTACAAGATAAAATAAATTCATGACCATTGGTACCGCTTGCCCATTCCCCCCAGGCTGCGTCCACCCTCTCTAATACCTTCCCTACTTCCCTCCTCTTTCTCTCCTCCCCTCCTACTCTCTTCCCCTCCCCTTCTCCTCTTACCATCCTACTTCCTCCCTGCACCTTCCTCCCCTCTCATCTCTCTCAAACACATGAATGCAGCATAAGGGAAATGCCCAAGCAACACCTCTCTCATAAACAACCATATCTATATTATCCTTACCCACCCACCCGCCCACCCTCAACCCTCCCCCCCTCACTTCCCAGAGCAGAGTACAGGGTTATTAATAACAAAATTAATAAAAAGAAAAAAAAGAAAAGAAAAAAATCATACTTAGCCCTTAACTCCCCTTAAATTACATCATCATAAACAAATCTCTTCTACAACATTTACTATAAAATTTACTCATAAAATAAATGATACTTTGTAGTCCCATACTTTTTCTGAATATAATCTATCCATCTTCTCCATACAATAATATATCTTTCTTGCGTATGATCCTTTAAATAAGCAGAAATTTTTGCCATGGCAAAAATTTCTGTGAAATGACAAACATGCTTTGTGATCAAAAGTCAAAGATTGTTGCTACTTTTAGAATATAAAACAGGCTGCAATTTTGCATAATGCTACAAGAACAGATTAAACATGTACCAAGTAATCGTATTACAATTCAGTAAGCATTTGTATTTTATAATTTTGATTTTGACTATTTCAATCTTAAGTAAATAAATAGGTAAGGAACATTTATACTGCTCTTTTGTTATACATGGAAACATGCTGGTTATTTGACCCTGAAAGAAACAGTGCACCTGATTTTAATTTTGATGAAAGAAGAGCTAACGTTTCTCGGGTATATGTATATTAATTCCTTCTTTACATATGTATCTGACTTCTCTAAAT